CTCTATAGTGAAAAAATTAAAAAGTTAATTATACTGTACATCATGTGACGTAGTGCCTATAGTAAAATTACTCATTTTTCCAAACACACACAAAACCGATTCAGTAGATAAATAAATAATATGTTAATTTATAAATATACGGTTACATGGTTCAATTTTCATAAATAAATATATAAAGGTATCCACACGAACACATTTTTACAATAAATAATTTAGTATTGATAAGTACGACTGTAAATATGTAGAATTTAATGTTAAATTCACAAACTAATATTAAAAATTAAATTGACGATTACAATAAATACAGTTTTAGTTTTTTGTATACGTAATTAAACTTAAAAGTGGCTCCCATCACTTATTAAGTACATTATTAATGTATAAAACTTTATTAATGACTAGATTAATATACGGTATGATTTTTTTGCCCATGAATTGAGATCATTTTACTGTACTAAGCTGTCCAAAAAAAAAAAAAAAAAAATGTAAAGTGGTTTACTTATAATTCACGCTTTTTACCACTAGGTACCACAACTACAACTGAATAAATAAATAAATAAATAAAATAAAATAAACGGACTAGCTGTTCAAGTGGGTTATTCATGGGCGTGTGACTAGAGTACACTCTCTTCCAACATATTTTTTCATGTACTTACATACTAGTACGACTTACGTATAATCTATTTATTACGTACTGGCAAAGTTGATCTTTGCATTACGATGATCCAATTTATAATATTAAAACTATAGCCGGTTTATTGTCATTCAAATTATTAAGAATACAAAATTAATGACTAGAGCGCAATTTCTATAGAGTAAAAGCTTACAATGTAATTATCAATTAATAATAATATTAATGAACTTTTTGAATAATTTTCTTAACGTTGATTGTATACGCAAATTACAGTGTTGGGCAGGTTCGCTCGAATTGTTAATTGTATTTCTAACGACTTATCGATAAAATTGAAATTGTACACAGCCTTCGAAAATACCGATAAAATAACGAATCTACGTATATTGTTTGACTTTTTTTTATTTTTTTCCAAATTAATATTTAAAAAGACGGTTGGCCTGATAACTGCAAGTAGAGTGAGTGATCTATGAGCGTCGGGACGACCAGCTGCGATCGATGATCGCAACAACCCGACGCGCGCTTACAAACTAAAAATCAGTTTGGGCTTTCTCTCTTTTTTGTATATTATTGACTGTACAGCTACAAGTGTTTTCGAGCATCGCCGTGACTATGGTATTTACTGGCGAAATAAGAAAAAAAAAAAGAGCGATGATTTCCTCATGTTGACTAGAAATTTAATTATGACTTGGTACAATGAGGCACTTGGTGCATTTTTGGCATTACCGCGAAATTCACCGGAACGTTGATTTGGTTTAATTTTAAAAATTTCAATAGCATTTGAAAAATTAAAAAAAATATTTTTGAAATCCACGATTACGTTGTAATTTACGGTCCAAGTGATATGATAATTAATTCAGTCTTTTCGTGATGGAAAAAAAAATTCGATATGGTGACTTTCCGGTGAATTTCGATAAGAGCTAAATACTGTATAAAACTTTCCTACTGGCACTCATTCCCAAAAGACTTCCGAGCTAAAGTGATTACATCAATAGTATATAGTGACTAGAAAGTAAGTTGTTATTCATTCGAGCTTAAATAACTATTAAGACTAAAAAGACACTGTAGAATTAAACTTAAGTCTGGTAATACTGAGTGCATTTTCTCGCTGCATATAGCTAAATCATTGATAATATTACTTAACCTACTTTGTATTTGGTCATGGTCTGTATGGCAGCTTATTCACGGCAGTGTCAGCTAGTTATGAATGGTTCAGAAATAAAAATTTTAATCAAAAGCAAAAATATGTAACCTATTTTTATTATAATTTTTTTTTTTTTTTTTTTTTTTTTCAAGTTTTGATTTTTCGTACAAAAATAATTTTCTCAAACCTAAAATTTTAATTTTTGGTCCCTGCATGGATGATATGTATTGTTTCTTCGGAAGGTATAAACGAAAAATAATTGCAAGAAAA